TTTAAATAAATTATTTTAAAAATATTTAAAATTATTATAAATAATTTTAATTATTAAATAAAATTGCAGGTAAATTTGCCTGCAAAACGCTTGAAGGGATAATATTATAAAATTAAAAATAATTATGATAAACAATCATAGTATTATCATAAAATTTATATTTACATTATGATAAAATTCAAGATAAAAAAAATTCTATTTATGATAAAGTAAATAGATAAAATGTATAATCTTATACGGTATATAAAATTAATAAAATTTTTATTATAAATATAAAATTTATTATATAATTTATTTTTTATATTTTATTTTAAATAAAAAAAACTAATATATTAGTTTTATACTAGTTTAATAATAATATAAAGTGAATATAAAATTATAGATATAGGATTATAAATATATAAAAAGTAATAATGAAAATAATAATTCTAATAAATATCAAAAAACAAATAATTTTTTAAAAAAAATATATATTTTTCAAGAATTTTTAAAGAAGAATTTGCAAAATTAAATAAATTCTTTTAAACTTTTTTTAAATTAAAATAAAATATATTTAATAGTTTAGATTAAAACAAAGAATAGAAGATTAATAAGCATCAATAGATACTTTAAAAGAAAAATGAATTTAATAAAAAATTTTTAATACTATAATTATAATATATTACTAAAAAAAAATCTATCTCATTATATTAAAAATTGGTAGAATTTACTTTGAAAATATTAGAAATTATTTAATAAATTATATTTTAGCATTAATTAATTTTGATAATACCAAAATTAATTATGTCAATTTAATATTATTATAAATTATTAATAAAATAATTATGTTTATTAAAATATAATTTAATTAGTAATTTATCAATTTATATTAAAATATATGATAAATAATATTTTTCTAGCAAGAGATTATAATAATATCAAAGAATCTATAATATAATAATTATTTTTGTGTGTAATAGTAATATTTAGACTACTAATTTATATATGTATAATAGTAATATTTAGATTATCTATATAAATAAACTGATTAAATTATATAATATTACATGAGATTTCAAAAAAGGAAATTTTATTTCCCAATAAAATTTGAGTTTAATTCTAAAATTAATTACACAAATTTTCTTTATAGAAATTTGTGTAATGTTATATAATCTACTCTGTTGTAAAGTAATGGATTAGCAGCTAATATCTTAATAAAAAAATAAAATAGTAATTGATAAGAACTATTAAAGTGATAAAAAACTTTCTAAAGAATTTATAATAAAATAAATTATCAATTTAAAAAGAAGTATTAATAGAATAATATAATTCATTATATTTTTATCAGTTAATATGAGTTATAAATCAGTTTAAAGTTATTTTTGATTGGTCTAGAAAATAATAGTAAATTAAAAATCCTTAAAATATGATATTTTTAGAAAATTAGATATTAATTAATACTAAAAATTTAAATTATGAGTTATAGGATTAATTTGTATAATGCTTATTAATATTTTTAAAATGAGTTACATTAAAATGCTTATTAAGAGAAAAAAGCTAAAAATTTACTCAAAAGATTTAAAAAATATTTATTTAAAGTAAAGTTAGAATAAAATTATTATATTAAAAATATCAAATTGATAAAAAAATAAAAAACTAGTTAATCAAAATTATTTTAAAAGTAAAACATAGTATTGTATAAAGATGATTATAATTAGTTGTAATTACTTAATGTTTATTTATCACTAGTTGTAACTAGTTGTAATTTAATTTTATTAATATTGCAACTAGTTGCAATTTTGTAATACTTTTTTGTTATCAATTACAACTAGTTATAGTATTTTTTAGTATTGCAATATTAATATCACTATTTATTAATTATAATTGAACTTAAAATATTTATTATTACATTTAGATTAATAAGTAAGTAAATCTATTATCTTAATCTATGTAAAGTTTATTTATTTAGTATTCAAATAAAATAATAAGAAAATAAATTAATTATATATTTAATGAAAATGTAATTATAAAAAAAGATCAAATAGTATACTTAGTATAATCTTTAATAGTATTAAGAAATTGAATAAAGATGAAAAGTATTTAAAGATCATCTATAATAATACTTATATATAGAATAAAAATAATATTACTATTTAGTTTTACTTGTATTTAGTAATTTATAGATATTATGAAAATATTAAATTAAATTTCATAATTCTAAAATATATTAAATTCAAATATGATATAATTTTAAATAATTAAAAATTCTATAGAAGAATAGAGTAGATTATCTGAATCATATAGTTAAAGTATAAAAAAGTCTAATTTAGCTGAATTAAATAAATTAAATATTATAAGGTGAAAAAGGTTTTCAATGCTTAATTATTAAAGCTATTTTGAAAATTTATTTTAAGAAATTATCTAAACATATAGAAATATTAATATTTCTTTTAAAGTATCTAATCTTGATATAGTAAAAATTTAAGAAGTTGGTAATATACCTTTTATTGAATTCAATTTATTAAAAATTAAGAAAACAGATATTTTTGAAAAATTAAATCTTTATCTATTTTAATATTGATACTACTTCCTTTGGACTACAAAAGATAAGAATATCTTTATCATAATATTTATTTATTTATGAAAGATGAATATAAAAATATTATTTATCTCAAGTCAAAATCTTATTTTTCTTAATTATAATTATTTTAATAATTAAAAACTAAGAAATATAACAATATTTCACAATCAATCATTTAGTAAATTTTTTTTTCTTATTTTTGTTGAGTTGGTTTTCTATTCAGTTTTATTTCATTTTCAATAGTAAGTCTTAAAATCTTTTAATTTTTCTATTATCTCTTTCATTTTTCATGATTCTATCAAATGTTTTGTCTTTTTTAATTGACCTATAATTCTTTTAATACTTTATAATTGGAGTTTAGAAAAATTAAGTTTATTAAAAAGTTTTTAAATAATCCAATTTTAAATTAAAGTTTTAAAAAATTTATTATATATATTTGCGAACTAATTGCATCACTTTACTACTAATAAAATTTAAAAATTATAATAATTAAAGTTTATTTTCTTGATAAATTTTATGATATTCTATTATGATTAATATTAAAAGTAAATTTTAATTAATGATAAATTTTTTAAAATTACAAATTTTATCTTTAAATTTTTATTTGATATATATTTATCACACTATCACACTGCATTACACTCTACTATGTTTCGTTTTTACTAAATTAATTTGGAAAGATATTAAAAATGTTATTTGTCACCCCTATGTTCACATAGTTGTTCAACACCCAATGTACAAATAGCAATTCTCTTAAAGTAAAAAATATAACAAGTTCGTCATCGAATTCACGTCACGTGAATTAAAATTTTGGCTCGATTTTTTCATTTTCGAATTATTTATGATTTGGTACCTTTTTTTTTTTCCTTTTTCGATCCAAATTCAAAAACTTTGCTCGTCATTTCTAAATATTTCAATTTACTTCGGTTTTTGACACGTTATTTCAATGTCGAGAAGAACCAACAACCATAAAAGACGTAGAAATGTTACGGACGACAATATAGAGGCTGGTCAAGAAATTGCTGTTGAATTGGATTCAGGTAAATAGACCTTGTTTTATAGGTATATAACGCTTCAAATTTTTAACGACACGTCTTATTTTATAGACGTTTTTATAAATCAAACGTTTTTTTTATATCGGTGTACACCTTTTTACAAATTCGAACATACCGATTTTACTCTATATGGAAAAGAATTACATAATTTCATCACTGGTCAAATGTTAAATACAATTCCATCATTAGATCATGAGATTAGAGAAGAGAATGATTTTACATCAGAAGGAAAAGTTGTAGAAATATTCATATCAAAGATAAAATTATCTGATTGGAATGGTACGAAACATATTATTTTAACGATAATATGAAAACAGGTGGTAGTTTCGATGAACCTTTGTATTTTTTTTTCTAGGTACTAATGGTATGCCAATTGGAATTGAGATAAAGTTCAAGCCGAAAGGTAAGAAACGTAAACGAAAATTTAACATATTTACGCGAATTCACGTGTTTTTTTTTAAATCCTATATCTTTAAGGGTCCGCAAAGGAGCAGATATTTCACATAGTGTTCTTGCCAAGTATTGTTAGTCGTGATTTCATAAATAAAAATTGTACGGATTTCTATCTAATATGAAGAGAGAATTTTCTAGTCGAGATTATCTAATTTTATTCTTTTCTAGCACCATTTAGTCATTATCCTGTTATTCTAATAAAGGCTCCTCAGCGACTCACGAATATTGCGATCGAATGGTTTGAAACCCGATTTGATTGCAGAATATGCAGATATCGTCTACAGTCGTCATGTCTAAAAATATTTATAGAAGAATGGGCAAACATAAGTTTTAATTGCGATGACTTTATTCAAAGTACGATTAATTTAAATTATTGGTAATTTCTTCTCCTCGCTTAACAAATTTTATTCTTGTCATGTAGATTTATTGAATACACGATTAATCGCAAAACCACTTGAACTCACATACACCATCCCAAATATTTCAGAGATCAAAAATATAAAGCTGAGGATGTCCATTGTTGATGTCAAACATCTTTACGATAGGTAATTTTATTTTCACAAAAAAAAAATTTCTTTAATTAATTTTTTTTTTCCTAATTGTTCCAGTTAATTAACCCAAATTTCTGTGATAGATTAAAAGAGCAACCTACAGAATCACAGCGTAAGTAAATTTTTAGTATTAGGTCTGATTTTATTATATATCACTTAATTAAGCATTTAATGACGTCAGGTATAATGGAAGGAATTGAAAAATATTTCTTTGAAAATCTACGTATTAATCTCTCCTCGTTGGCACTCTCTAAGATTGGCAACAATGCAGCATTAATCGCTGGCGAAGGAAAATTGAAGGTAAATTTTCACTTGTCATTTCTTATCATTAATTAGATAATTAATTGATTTTAATTTAGATATTCAAAGGATCATTATTCTCTACATCGATCGCATCACTTTTAAAACAGTTAGTTAACTTTACTCAATAAAAATACAACTTAATTCAAATGTTTAATCAAAGATGATTTTTGAATAGAATCTGTTTCTAAACGAATAAATTAACTGAATAATGTATAAGTTGATGGGTGATATGTAGTCATTTATGCCAACGTTAAAATTTTTACAATAATGGTTGGTTATTTTGATGAGTCAATTATCAAATTATTTGAAATATAGATTTAATTACGCAGACAGTATTAACTTGCGTACCAACTTGCTTTACTGACATTACTAATAGATAAAGATAAAAATGATAATTTTGCAAATATAATTATGAAATTTTCTAATCAAAACTAGCCGGCTAAGCCCTTTTTTGGCTTTTTTTTTGTATTACTTGAAATGTACGAAAAAATTTTCATCCAATCAAATTTAGGAAAGCCTGTGGTAAACGTCAAACAAAAGGTTGTGTAATGATAATATAATTCAAAATTTAGAATCAATTTGAATATCTCGAATTTAAATTGATATCCGAGATGTTTAATTGAAGCCTTTTTCAAGCGGCATTAATAATCATTAATAATAATGCCAGTAAAAAAAGCATGCTAAATTTGGGTTGTTTGATATTTGATCATACGTCATTTTTATAACCAATAGATTGTTCGCGTTTTATTTATGACAAATATAAACAGACTCGAACAAAGAAACTTCGTTTAAAGGCTTATTTCGAACAAACTTAGCATTTTAAACTCTTTTTCGTAAACAAAATGATGGAAAAAGAAATACAGGTAAAAACAAAAAAGGTGAAAAATATATATATATATATATTTTATTTCATTAACCAAATATATATGGTGTTTTAGGTTGAAAGCGCTTCTCAACTAGATTATGAGATAAAGCAAATAGTTGAAAGGTTTCAAGAAAAAGAAACTGAACACACTTGGTCGGGTTTCGATGCTGCTTTAACTCGTTTAATTGCTATAACTCGAGGCAGTGCTATTCTTTATGAGAAAAACTATATATCAGGAATAAAAACTTTGAGACAACCAATAATAAATTCGGTAAATAAAAGAGTTAATAATAATAATAATAATAATAATAAATAAAATTAATTGATTCAAAAATTTTAAAAATTTTAATTTAACCTGATAATAATAGATATTAACAGAAAGAACGAAACTTTCCGGAACGGCGACAGAATTGATAGAAGAAATGGCTAAAACACTTGGATTTAAATTTGATGCATTGTCAGAAATTTTTGTACCATCTATTATTAAATTATGCATGCGTACAAAAAAAACCACTCTTATTCGAGCTCAAAAATGCGTGAATACGATAATTCGAGAATGTCGACTACCAAACCTTATCCCGAAATTTAAAGAAGCACTGCAAAATCAAAGTAAAACCTTAAGGAATTGTGCGGCTGAATGGATCCAGATAAGTTTGGAAACGAATGAGGTTGGAGATTTGAATAATTATATTGCTGATATCGAATGGTCCATCCGGCAATGTGCATCTGATCCATCAGCAGATGTTAGAGCTATTTCAAAGCAGATTTTTGAAATTTATAAATCGAAATTTGATTTAAGATTAGATACGTAAGTTACAAAGTTTAATTGGTTTGGTGATTCTTTATTTAATCAAAAATTAAATATGAACATATACTTATTCATATTATATATTTTTTTAGTTTCGTCGCGACTATAAAAAAAGACCCTATTATTTCAAAAGTTTTAGGCATTAAAGATAAACCAACAAAAACAAACGCCCTACCACTCATAAAAACGTTGAAAACCCGCAAGATGGATCACGTTCGAGAAATGCAAAGTGACGTTATTATATTTACTAAAAATGGAGATAATGTGCAAATAATTAACGATAGTGAAGACAAGGTGCAGATAATTAAAGACAAAAGATTGCCTTTAAATAATGACAATTCTAACTCATCTGTGGATAAGCCAGTTATTACCGAAGAACCGTCTTCACTTGATGAGCCGCAAGATGCTGCTGTTGCTTTAACCACATCTACTGGGTTTGCCACGTTAAAGCGACCAAAGTTGTCATCATCAAAATCTCAACCCGTTAACACTACTGCTCAAAGAGTACCAGCTAAGCCGACAAGGGCTCAGGTGGTTAATACATCTTCGATTAATCGTGACGTAGGCACTGGAACTGGTGAGTGTGTTAGTAAACCCTCACAACCATAATTTCTTATTTATATATTTAAATCCTTTATCCTACAAAAACATGGATATTTTTAATTTGTATACTTATAAACTATAAACATTTGCGCGGCATTGCAAAGGAGGAGCTCAACGCATTCGATCTAGAGAGCATACTATAACGATCACCGAAGATAAAAATAAGGCTAGTCGTATTCTAAATACAAGCAAGACCAATAACATTAAACCGTCAAGACCACCTATTATTCGTACAACGAGTGCACCGGCTGATAGTCCTGCTAAAAAAAAGCCATCTCATAAATTCAACAATATTAAAGCAAAGACAGTTCCTATCATAGGTCATAAAACTTTGAGAGAAACAGAATCAGTATCGAATTCAGTTTTTAGACCTTTGAAGGTGACAGCAACTGCTACTTCATTGACAGAAGGGTTATTAACGACCGCCAATTTAACTATAACAATATCAACTGCATCTAAACAATCTAACCGTAACAAAATTGGAAAACCAACGTCTACAAATGCACGACTATTTGGTAGACCCAGGGAACGTCAACGCCAATTTTCTCCTTATCAAAAACCTGCTGTAGATTTCGCAACTAGAAAATTTGGAAAAAAGCCACTACCAGACCGTGAAGAGTTAACTGCAAAAGTGAATGCATTAGCCAATCACGCCATTGAAGTAGTAACAAGGCAAGTGGAAGTAGAATCATCTGGAAATCTGAAAGTTGAGATAGTCGCAGTAGAAGAACCAGCGATTGAGGAACAAGATATTGAAAATTCTAATACCTTAAGAGCGAGACCATCAATTAAATATCAACTACCAGCAACTCAAGACATTACACCACTTCCTACTGAACCTTCTCCTCCTCTTTCATTCGTTAATCCTGTTAAATTTCTGGAGGATGTTCAAAAAGCTGAAACGAATGGATGTACCAAGGGGGAGAATGTTGAACAACCAGAAGTTGATAAGAGTAAATTACAATAAAGGCAGGTTTTTTATACGTTCGTTTTGTTTCTAGAGGAACATTTAAGAAGTACAATAAAAGTGCGGGTTTTTATATATTCTCTCAAATACTCTGCTCAGTTCAATAATTACCGAATGTTAAGAATTATATTGTAAAAAAAAATTTTTTACGAGTCCTTAGAAGAAATATTATCTAGAATATCTATAATCTTGTAACACGATAACTAACTCGATTATTATTATTGTGAAATTTTTGTTATAACCTGCAATGAACGCTTAATATGCAAATAAGATCTAGCTTCTAACTATATTAATGGCATGAGGAAGAATATTATAAAATTTAGTATTTAAAACTTTTTGCCCTTAAAATTCAATGGGATCATGTTAAATTTCCTTCTTAACTTTAACCTTGCACAATTTCTAACCTATATGATGATGAAGATCTTCACCTTTATGTTAAAAGAAACACATTCTTGTGCAATTCTAAATACAGATAATTACTGTCGACTCGCTCTAAACGAAGTCAGTGGTTTAGCCATTTGGACCTTCGTTATAAAAAAATTTCGTCGTATGTCATATAACGGAATTTTTTCCGTTTTTGTCATAAAATAAATATTTGTTATCGGTCACACCCTCTACTTTTTCGTTTTTACCGGCACTTGGTATTCAAAAATCCTTTTACATATCTATTATATTCTATTAGTAAAATGTAAATTATGTATATAATAAGTTTATTTTGCTCAAATAACTAATCATATGTTTCATTCAAATATAAATCTTCTAAAATGAAAAAAAAGGTTAAGAGAAATATTTTCTTCACATTTTCCTTTAAAACACTACATTAAATACTGCAAAATTCATTTTAAGTTAAGTATTTCTTTATTCTTTTTCTTTGAAAACATTGCAAAAATTCTAATATATATGTAATACAACCAAATTGAACTAATGAAACTCATCAAATTTTATAGTACATCACAGTTTAGAGTAAAGGTCTACATCCTAACTTTAGGTTAAAGATACTTATATTCTGAGAGCTTTACCTTCACGTGATTAGTGACAAATAGAGACATGAAAAAATATTTTTCATTACTTGAAAAATTCAAAGTTTTTAATATACTTATGAAAAGTAAAAATGCAAAGAGTATGATACAGGATAACAAATATAAAGGTAAAAAATTTTATGATGATACTGAGTAAAATCCTTATATGTTACTGATTATGTGATAAAATTTTTTACTTATAAAATTCTAGTAATATTAGGTTAATTTAAAAAAATTCTAATAATTATTTAATTAATTTCAACATAATATATTATTTAATAATTAATAATTTTTTTAATTAATAAAACTCTTATAAGTTTATCATATTAAAAATTCTATAATTTCAAAAAATAGTAATCAATTTATTATATATATTTTTACTTATATATTATATACTAAGTATAAGTTATATTTTAAATTATTATTTATAATGGTTTTATTATATACTACTTTTATATTTTTATTATCACTATATTTTAAAATAATATATCAAAATTTATAAATATTATATATAGATAAAAATTTATTTAAATTTTAGTATAATTATATTAAAAGATAAAATTTATAATTATAATCTCTTTAATTAGTTATTTTTAAACTGTATTTAAATCAATATTTATCTTATAAGTTTATAAAGTAAATAAATTATATTTATAAAAATTTTGAAGTTTAAATAATTATTTTTATTAATTATAATTATATAAATAAAAATTGATAAATTAAATTAAAAATATTATTTACAAAGTTACTATATTATTTTATAATTAATATTATAAATATTTTTATAATATAATTTTCTTTTTAAAATCTTTATTATTATCTTATAAATATTTTAAATATTTGACTTTTTTTTCTAGTTTAATTTTATTTATTCTATTTTTCTTTAATCTACTTTTATAATATTATATGTATAAAACTATAATTACTATATATAGAATAAATAAAAAACTTAATAAATTTAACTTTTAATACTAAAAATTCAAAGTAATTTATATATTAGCATTTAGAATAAAATTGGTAAAATCATAAAAATAAAAAAAATTAAAATTTTTTATTGAACAAATTTTATTAAAATTTTTTCTGCAATTTCAAACTTTTTTTTTTTATATAAAAGTTATAAATCTACCAAAAATCTTTAAAACTATTGATATTTACTAATATTTTTATAAAAAAAAAAGATTAAAAACAAATAAATTTTAAATTATAAAGTTATTATTATATATATATAAAAAAATTTAATATATAATTATTAAATAATAATAAAAGTAATTTTTTTTTTTATTTATAATATTTTATATTATAAAACAATTTGATTTATACATAAAATTTAATAAAAAAATTTAAAATTTATAATTTAAAATTTTACATTAATTAAATTAAAAATTGATATCTATTTTTTATATACTATTTAATAATTTAATAAATTAAAATTAATAAAAAAAAAAAAATTTCTTTTAATATAATATAATAAATTAATTTTATTATAATTTATTACTTTTTTTAAAAAATCCGGAAGTAATTTTCTGATAAAATAATTTATATTTTAACATAAAAGATTTGGAAATTTCAGATATGGTAAAATCCTAAAATTTTTTTTTGAAATACAAAAAAAAAAAATTTACTATTAAATCACAAATATATACATATAAATATATAAATATATAAATAGTTATAATAAAAACAAATTGGTTAAAAAGTATTAATAAAAAGTATATCTACTAAAAATGATTAATTAATTAAATTTTTTTTTAAAATAAAAAAAAATTATAAGATATTTATAAAAAAAAAAAAACTAAGATAATTGTTATTAAAAAAAAATAAAAAAAGTAAAAGGTAAAAATAAAACATAACCCATGATTTTATGAAAAAAGGAATATATTTTTTAAATAAAAAAAATAAATAAAAAAAGTTACAGTATATATAAAATTTTGTATTTGTATTTGTCAATATATAAATATTTTAGTTTATGATTTAAATATTAAGCACGTCCAGGTATTGATATAAACTCCTACAAAATTCGTAAGTCAATAAACAATATTTTAAAAAGTGGATGTAATAAAAGGAAAAAAAAGAAAAAAAGAAATACAAATATAGTATAAAGATCAAATAAAAAGTAATCAACCAAAACTACATACTGTCGACCCCCTATATAGTCACCTCTTATATAGTCACCCTCCCTTATAAGCACATTTTGTTAGGTCAAAGTTAACATAAACTAATTAAAAATCCTCTTCTATAGTCACATTAAATAACTTTTTATAATCAAACCAAAATTTTTTTGATCCTGAGGGGTGTGAATATATAGGAGGTCGACTGTAATACTTTAAAAAAAAGATCTTACCTTAAAATGGAAGTTGGGATTTTCTTGTACAAAGGCATCACGTAAAAGTATTTTGGCGGTTGGTCGATCCTCTGGCTCTCTTTAATACGAATAAATAAGTTGTATCATTAATCTGTATTATAAAAAAAAAAAAAAAAAAAAAATCGAACAAACTAACATTATAAAGCATCGATCTATAAACTTTCTTGCATCATTTGACATTACGATGTCTTCTCTTATCGGAGGTGCTTTTTTCTCGCTTCCAAGCTACGTGTCATGCAAAATTATAAAATATAAGGAATTATAAATACAATAATTTTAGTAATATATGATACTTATAGACCAACCTTAAACATTGCAGCAAGGTCCGATAATTCCGACCAAGGTCTTTCCCCAGCAAACATCTCAAGTACTACACAACCAAGACTCCTATAATGCATAAAGTCAAAGTTATGTTATATAATTCAAATTACAATTAAATATAATTATACAAACGATTTACCATATGTCAACCTTAGCACTATAACCTCTAGTAAACACCTCTGGTGCCATCCAGAAGATAGTGCCTTGCAATGACATATTTGAATTATAATCATAGGCTGCTAGAGCATGATCTAATTAAAGTATTAATTAAGTTAACAAATTATAATAATCGTATAAAAGAAACTGGTTTAATAAACACGTACCACTTTTTTTTGAGATTCCAAAATCAGAAATCTTGCAACACCCTTCTTCGTCAACAAGAATATTATCTGCTTTAATGTCCTAATAGAGAAAAAAATATTAGTAATGTTAACGTGCAACACAAGTAAATAAAAATAAAAGATTATATACCCTGTGTAATATTCCTTTATTATGTAAATACTGCAACCCTAATAAAATCTGCCGTGTGAATGAACTTACGACAGGTTCTTTGAACGCTCCATAAATTCTTAAACAGGTACCAATGGATCCGCCATTAACATATTCAAGAAAAATATTAATAGTTTCATTATTTCTTTCAAACCCTAATAATTCAATGTAAATGATAAATCATTAAATAAATTCATGAATATATCTATAATAAAGAAAAGACTAACCTATATATTGGACAATATGGTCATGATCTAAATCTTTCAAAATTTCCATTTCGTCTGTGAACGATTTGACCTTTAATATTAAGAAAAGTCTAATTAGATCAAGGTATTTATTATAAATTGACAAAGTATTATTTTTCCTTTTACTTAATCGTAATTATACCAAGTTTTGTTGCCTCTCATTCAATTTATCCGACTTCGTTGTTGGCAACTCAATTTGTTTGACTGCCATTATTTCAGATGAGTTCATATTCATAGCAAGAAATACCTTTCCAAAGGTTCCTTTACCAATAAGTTCACCTTTCACCCACTTTACAGCTTTTTTATTTTTTAAAAAAAAAAAATATATAATTTGAATACAAAATTTTAAATATAAATATCTGTTAATTAAACTTAGAAATTGGTATGCAAAAATTTACAAACGTTTTCTTTCAGCCGGAACACTTTCTCCCGGAGGGAGATCTGGGGGACAAGGTTTTTTATGTGAAGGAACTTCTTCAACAACTTTCTTATCCCATAATTTAGTAGTTGGCTTTCTACTTAATCTTTGACTTGCTTTAATAGTATTGACCACACCAATTAACTTTCTATTATTATTCCTTTCTTTCTTTTCACGTTGTTCACGTTCATGTGCTTCACGAGCTGCAGCGCGAATAGATTTTCCTCTTTGTATTCCTCCAGTTTTTCCTTGTACTAGAGGTACACTTTTTGATTCTTCATTATTACTTTGTTGTTGAACAGAAGAACCATTTGCGTCTATAATAGGTTTGTCAAGATCGTGATCTGGAAAGTATTGTTCTAAATGCTCAAACAGATCTTCAGCTGTAGGACGAACTACCCAAGATTCATCTACGCCTCTGCGCATTGACACCGTACGTGCTAGACCTGAAGGTTTACTTGAACGCTTCTGTTTCGGAGGTTTAGGTTTGGGACCTTCCTTAGGTTCATTTGAACGTTCATAATTATTATTTCTTAATTCAATTGTATCATTATTAGATTTTACACTTCCTGTACTTTGTTCTTGTTCACCATTATTATCATCATAAGTTTTATGAACCGAAGTTAAGCTTATAGCTGAATCTATTGTTTCATCACTATGCATAACAAGAGGATTTATTGATTGTCCATTATTTGAAGATGATTTTGGAATTTGAGCACAAATGTCCTCGGAGATGGTAGTAGCTGTAACAGCTTTATTCTTATCTTCAATCGATTTACTTGAAACTGGTTTTTGAGCCCAAAAACTCTCATCACCTCCACTATCATTTGATGTATAATTTAAAGATTTGGGTTTAGACGATGTTCTAGGCTTTTGCGCCCAAAATCCACTATCATCATCTTCAATACTAATATTATCCAAAGAACTTGTTAAACTAGAAATTCGTGTAGAAAGTTCATCATCATTGATATGTGGTGAATTACTATCGTTTTGCAAAAGTTTAGTTGGAGGTTTTGCCCAAAATGATTCTTCTTTCATTGGCGACGTGATTTTTGGCCATAATTGTGGCTCATCACCTTCTTCTGGAAATAGAGCTTTAATGGATTGGGTTCGAATTATAGAATGGCGATTGTATTCCTTTCCTTCTGATTGCCGCATATCAAATCTATTGAGAGTAAGATCAGGCTCAGATGTTACCACATGCATGGTATGTTTATAACGTTCTGGTTCTGGTGGATCTCGTGAACTAATATTATTTAAAGATGTTGATGGTTTAGAGAGAGGTAAATGAGGTTGCGATCTACTACTAAATTTATTTTGCATGTATACTCCTCCAGAAACTGCTGACATTAAAGAATGTTGAGAATTCTGTGCTACGTTATTAGGCTTTGGTGGAACTGGCGGTGGTGGATGATTTCGTACACCATCTCTAATGCTATCTGAATTTCTAACACTTTCTATAATACTTTCTCGACTTGGAGGACGTCTCATCATATTCATTCCATTCGCAGGTTGTAAAGCAGATGGATGTTGTTTTGATGGTTGTGACCTAGGTATTAAAGAAATGTTACTACGAGAATAATCAACACCTACACGATGCTGCGATAATGACGAAATTGGAAAATCAAGATTCTCCCTATCGCTAGATACCGCCCGCTTTCTGTTATAAGGATGATTGGAAGGTGCTCCAAAAGATAGTAGATTATGATCCAGGGAGTACATATGATTACTTCCTTGTTTTTGTGAAGAATCATAATGTGGAACCGGAAATTTTAAATCTCCAAATTTATTTATGTCTGGTGACTCTTCTGATAAAGGACTTAACCCTTCGGGTTGTGATGCTTTCCAACGTTCTGAAATTTTTGGATCAAATCCACCAGCAAAACTATTAAATCTTCTTTCTCTATCGTCATCATCATCATCATTATTATTCTTACTATTATTATTATTATTATTATTATGATCATCATCATTATTATTAGATGATGATGGTGATAATTGATTTAATTCTGAAAAGTGTGGTTGTGACATTTCTGGAGGAGTTTTACGTCTTAAAAATCTTGTTTTATTTGATTGATCGCCCCCACCAGGAATTAAATTTGAAGGAGAAGTACTTTTCCCCGAATCAACGTAAACTCTATTAAATTCTGGATTTTGTCCTCCTTGCATAACCATTTTACCTTGATTATGACTTTGCGCATAAAATGAATCTGAAAATTTAACAAATAATTTTAATGTTCCTATATTATCAGCATTCATACATTTTTGAATCAATATTTCATCATCTATCATGGGACCTATAATTCAGAAAATAAATTAACATTATTATTCTTTTTAGTTTTAAAATACTGCAAATAAATAATATATATAAATAACACACCAATTTCGCTTTGTCCAATTTCAGTCAAATGAAATGTAACATGCTCCCATTCTTCAATATTCAATTCAGACAAGATTGCACGTTTAATCATGGAAGGATCCACCCAATCTCTCAAATCAACCACGCGAAAATTTTTATTATCAAATGTTACTTGAATATTTTTTGGTTTGGCAACAATAGAATCATCAGTTTCAACGTTCTAGTAAAAAAAAATAAATAGGTGTATTAGTCAAGAAATATTAATATATTTTAAATTGTAATATACATAAAATGCATACTAATACATTTGTTCTATTATGAGGGCTTCTTTTATTACTTCTTATATTATAATTAGGAGAAAGAGGACTAATATTAGTATCTTCTGATGATACATTAAATTGTTGTTGTTGTATAACGGAAGGATTATTATTAAAATTATGTTGCTCAGGTGTATGAGATTCTGATATCATCCCAAGTAATGATGTTGAACATTTATCATCATTATTTATAGGAGTAACACTATTTTCATTAGATAATTCTACTTCTTTTATTGTTGTGGACGAATTTGATGAATTATTACTCTTATTTTCCCAACCAATCGAAGATGTTCTTGGACCTATCATTGGACTTGTTATATGACTTTTTGGATTAAAGCTACGTAATTCAGGAAAACTTGTCGATAATTTTAAAGATTTTTGCTTCGAATTTTGCTCTTTTGGCGAAGGTACTGATTGTATAATCGGAGTTGTTGGATAGTTTTGTTCATTTATAGAATTAGATGATAATAATTGGCTTCCTGATGGATTTTGCATATCCGGTTGATTACCCTAAATAAATTATCACTATAATTAGAATATATGAAAAAGATGATAAAAAAAAATTATATATATTTAAAACCTTATTAGATAGTGATTCTCGTTTGGGAATCTTTCTAATTGCTGTTATTAATTTATAACGAGTAGAATCGCCAGTTTCATTGCTTTTCAATATACTTTTAATTTTTCTAACATCTCCAAGAGCAAAAAATTGTTCCCCAAATAAATTTTTATCTAATTATAATCAATTTTCCCATTAAAATAAATTTATTTATCAAATAAATACATTTTAAATAATTTTAAATATACGATACCAATAAACATCGTTTTATATTCACTAAAACCATTATTCTCAAGCCATTCTAATACTCTATCCAGCGTCCATGAAGAAGGTTCAATTTCTCCATCAAAGGAAGCGGATCTACTTCGATCGTGAGTGTGACTAGTTATATGGTCTCTACGAGTTAAAGAAGCCGCAGTTGAATTAGTTGGACTACTAACATTAGACCCGTCAATATTTGTACTTATAGGAGAAGGTGGTGTCTGACGTCGTTTAGATGTAGTTTCATTTGTTGCCGAGGGAATATCAATTTCGGTTGGAATTGCGTTTTGTTGTAAGGAGGTACTTGAACCAAAAGCATTTTGTTCTTTATATACTCCAGGTAATTCTGTTTGTGTTAAGTAACTACCCGAAGATTGCATGCTAGACGCTGAAGATGAACGTGAGCGTGAGTCAATAACAGGGAAATGGTCCTTTGAAGACGAATTTCCAGTTATTGTTGTTGTTGAAGAATTTGTTTGACCATTGTCAGACAGGGTATCGTTAATATTAACTATAGATTGAACGTTTCCGTCCGAAGGTATGCTAACGCCCATATTAGGAGTCACATTGCTATCGACTGAAGGACGTCTCTCGTTGTTATCCGACAACATGTTTAGGCATGGGTAAAATAATCGATTATCTTTTTTTACTTTATATTTTATAGTAAGTAATGAGAGATAATTGGTATTCCTTTGACTTGGTTACTCACGTGAATATATATATTACAATAAATATGGTTCACAAATCTTGGATCAGCAATATATTTTGTAATAATAAAGTGTCACCCTAACCATTTTAACCATTTTCCATCGAGTGGAACATCCAATGCAAATAATGCACAGAACACATTCAAAGAAATATTAATGTTTGATTCTGGGAAACGATCCGCGTTATTTTCAAATGATCGACAAATTACGTAACTCATTACGTCACATATAATTTGAATTGCTATAAAGAATTTTTAATATGTACATAATATTATATACAAATAAATAATTATCTAAAACATAATTAATTAACTAGTTACAAATCTTAAAAACTAAAAAATAATTTAATAATACAATAAAATCAATAAGAAAATTTAAAAAAAACTTATATACTTCAAATTATTACTAATAATCATTATTGGTATTATATAAATTATACAATAATAAACAAAAAACGCAATACTATTAATTACTTTTATAAGCAAATAACTTTAAATGCATAAATTTAAAATCTCAGTTATGTAAAATTAATTTAAATAATTAAAATTAAATTTATTTATTTTGTAACTAATAATAAAAAAATGGATTAGAATTTAAAAACTTAAAAAATAAAAGTATAAAATTCAAAAAAATAGAATTGAGATTAAAAAAATAAAAAATAGAGCAAAGTTTAAAAAATTAAAATAGAAGTTGAAAAAAACAAAAAAACAAATGGAGTGGAATTCTATTTTTATTTTTTCAATCTCTATACTAATTTAATTTTTTGAATTCTGTTCTAACTTTTGAATTTTGAATTTTTATTTTTTATTTTTTCAATCTCTATTCTAATTTTTTAAACTCTGCTCATTTTTTTGAATTTAGCATTTTTATTTTTTATTTTTTCAAGCTCTATTCTAATTTATTGAATTTCATACTTTTATTTTTTTATTTTTCAATCTTCATTCTAATTTTTTAAACTTTATTTTATTCTTTTTTTTATTTTTTTCAATATTTATACTGATTAATATTTAATTATTTTATCAATAAAAAATGATTAGTTCTACATATCTTTAACTCTTAATTTTAATTTAATTAATTTATGTAATTGTAATTTATGAGTAATTTAAAATTAGATTAATTTATACAAATTCTATTTATTTATTTAAAAAATATTTACATATAAACTCTATATAATCCTTTTATAAATTATATCATTATTATTCAGAATACTAAAATCATGATCTTATATTTATTTTAAAGTTCAAATCTTAAAGAATAACTTGATATAAATTTATTATTCAGTTAATAATATCAAATTTATATAATTTAATAATTTATATTAGAATTTTTTACTTAATAAATTTTAAGCATAAATTATATTTTTATAAGTTTACTATTATAAAACTAATACTATAATTATTTCAATAAGCTAAAATTCATTAAAATTAGACTTATAGATTATGAAAAAATTGTTGATCAAAAATTATTTAACACTATATAAAAAATTTTTTTTATGATGTAATACTGTCAATAACTTTATTAAATTTATATAAAAGTAAATTTTAAAAATCTATATATAAATATTAATTATCTTGTAATTATCTTTCAACCCTATTTTAATTAATCTATTATCATTTTTCTTTTCCTATAAATTCATTAGATATGTATTTAATGGTTATTGTAATTAATGAGAAAAGAAAAGAAAAAGTTAATATCTATTTAAAAATCTAAAAATTTATTTGTGAAATGAATTCATGTTTCTTAATTATTAAAGATATAGTATAATTGAATATAATCTAAATTTTTATTAGTATTTTTTTTAAATTTGTCTTTATTAGTATAGTTAAATCTTATTATTAGTGTTCCGCAAAATCGGATCGGATCGGATTTTATCCAAATCCGATCCGATCTGATTTTCATTTTTCAGGATCCGAATCCGATCCGAATCCGACGGATCCGTTGAAATCCAGATCCGATCCGAATCCGAC